GAAAATATAATGCCAGCCTTAGCTGTCCTGTAAGCACACTGGAATGCTTTAATGAGCCCTGTCAATATATAACTGTGCAACACCCTTATGTAGATAATAAAGGATAATCAGTGCTGCTGGGGGGGGGGACTTCTGGAAAGTTTTCAAATGTCAGTGTGTGTGGGTGTGGGTGTAACATCCAGATCTGACCTTTTGTTGTGGATCCTTCTAGCATTGTAGTTTTGAATTTGAGTGACGCTGAAAGGATTTTTTGTCTTTGTTCTGCATGTGAATGTTGCTGTATGTTGTGTTTGTGCTTGTATGTGTGTGTTTGTGTGTGGATGTGTGTGCCTGCGGTGTACCAAACAGAGAAAAAGTAGCAAAGCCACTAACAAGTTAATAAACTCCAGCTGGGCTTTGTTGTGCTGAAGACAGGCTATAGAGCTGAGCACATTCTCTGTAGCTTAGCTCACACGTCTTCTCTTCAAACCAGAGAAACTAGACCCAGAACCAAGAGGGTTTTTTCGTTTTTACTGACTGTAGGGTCAAAATCTGAATTGTAAGAATATTCCTACTTTCCTTGCTGATAGGCAGTGCTAGCCACAAGCAGGCTTATTGATAATACATTTCATAGTAGGGTTTCAGAGAAATATTTCTCTGTAATGTAACAAGTGCTTTTAGACAAGACATGACCAAACTGTGATATTAATCTAATTTGAACTTGAGCCAAAAAGTGCAACCTCTCTGTTTTATCTCACAGGGCTTTTACTCTTTTAATTAGACCTCAAAATGTAAATGACAACTGTTTAGTCACCTTCCTCCCCATGTGACCAAATCGCTTTGGTTAGGTACGGGGTACTGCTATGATTGGTGAAACTCTCTGGAAACTACAATAATGGCAGTATTTGCAGAAACGTTGTAGTGACGGGACAAAATTGCAAAGTCACGCAGAATTCACGGATTGGTTGATTTTGCATTACTTGTGACTTCTGATAAACGGACATAAAATACTCAAAGTATTTAATTATTCAAATTGATCTTTCTCGAATGAAAAATGAATATCATTAAAGGAATTTCAATCGGTATGCTGGTTCATCTGGTATATTGCCCCGCACTAATGTACATTCAGTGGCCAGTTGAGCTAAATTTACGCAGTCTAACAGCAATAAATCCTACCTTCATATCATGAAGGTTGTAGTATTCAGTCTAAAGCAGCTTTATAAATATTAGAAGTACCTCTCAGTATAGTTTTATATACCATACCTAATAAAAATGCCAACTGACTGTATGTTTTAGGTCTCCTTGGTTTATTTCCTCTTCACTGTAAACAGCAACCCATTGAAGGTCATTTTCCCATCTGTCACTCTTCCCACCATCTGTCTTTCCAACACATACATTTCACAAAAAACAATGTCAAGCATAGCGGCTGGTACAGCAGAGGTCTCGAACTATGTACCACGAAGGACCGAGAGTGTGCCATACAGTCACTTCTCCACGGCTCTCTCTCTCTGTATGCGCTCATAGCTCCTTGAGAACACATTAAACATAATTCCTGGCTGTTAAGGCATGGTTTCATAACAGTCTGACTGATTTTAAAGCTTGACATCAAGCACACGGCCCATTACAAACTACAAAGGAGCGGGTGATTATTTAAACGTCAAGTCTATTTTCCTTAAGACAACTTGGAAAGAAGCTTTTCCATGAGCTCTGTAATATCCACTCACAAAAAGTCACCTGAACCGTCCTCTTCTCCTCTGATGACTGCACCTTAAACCACAGAGTCAAGTCTTTAGTCACAGCAAACTCCTCCTGGAGATTTGCACTGATAGAAGCTCTTATTTGTTTATTGTAATTAGCCTCAAAATTAATGTCCCATTGATTTATTAATGTTCATATTCTAATAAGCACCACTAAGCAGAAATAAGATTACATGCAGTGGCAGAAATGTGCTTAATAACAGTAATTACAATTCTGCTCATAGCGTCATTAATTTTGTGTCCTCTGTCAGTGAAGTTAAATAGAGACTTAATTTATTGAAATTACATTCTGTATGTGATGTAGTTAACTTCATTCTTCATAATGACTCAATTCCTCAACTATTGAGTTTCTGTCTCAGCTGCGTGATTGATGTTTGATATATCATGATAAGTACTGTATAAGCCCAGATTTAAAGAACAGGAATCTGCGTTGTACTTCTTCTTCATCTTGAACTCTCAACTCTGCAAAGCTTATTCAGATTAGGCATACATTTATGAAATGATCACAGTTTAAATATTAATTGTAGTAAAAACAAAAATTTGCTTTGTGCAGCAGTTTACAAATTTTAAAGGCGAAAGGGCCCCCCAAAAAAACCTGAACCCTACATTATATATTTAAAACTCACTGTAAAATCGGCACCTGACGTTTTTACATAGCAGTTTTTGTGAGGATTAAACCAACAAGATCTAACGTGTTAATTAATAAGCTTTAGAGCAGCTGGGTAGGCAGATTACCTTTGGACAGGCTAGTCGTTTCCCCCTCTCCAGTCTTTATGCTAAGCTAAGATAACCAGGTGCTGGCTGCAGTTTCATATTTAAAAGTGAATTTCCCAAAACTATTCCTTTTTAGATGTTTTCTAACATAAGCAGCCATACAAGAACTGAAATTAAATACAGTATAAATTAGACTGAATAATGATTTAAATTAGACCCTCTCTGAGCCACGTTTCAGTACTTGACAGTTTTCAATACTCCAGACCTCTCTGTCGGGACCATACAAGTATTACAGTCTCTTAGTTTTAGTACCACAATGCGTCAGACAAATAAAAACATCCTAAAGTTGATGTCAAACACTGTGTAAGCATCTTTAAATCACTAGAGTTAAACAAAGCCACTATGGGAGTTTGTGTGAGTGTGTGTATGTGTTGGGGTAAAAGTAAGTGTGTGTGTGTGTGTGTGTGTGTGTGTGTGTGTGTGTGTGTGTGTGTGTGTGTGTGTGTGTGTGTGTGTGTGTGTGTGTGTGAGAGAGAGAGGAAGACATCAATCAAAGCTCATTTCAACCCTTCTCATATCTCTCCTAACCACACACATTGAAACACCAGAAACAAATCCACTGCCAGAGAGAGAGAGTGAGTTATAGAGCGATGGAGAGATGGGGGGGGGAGTGAAAGAGAGAGGACAGAGTGAGAGAGAGTGAGAGAGCACTTTCTATTTATAGCCTGTGCGCCCGGAGAGGAGGAAGACTGTTGTTCGAAAGCACACTTGGTCCGTATGATTTTGTTCTGCAGAGCACAGGCTGCCGCTCAAAAGATGCAAGAACGGAAACATACAATAAATATATGCCATACAAATTATATACCATGTGGGTGGTAAGATGGCTCATTACTGCGAAAATTAATGGCTGTTTGAAAAGCTGATGAGAGGAGAAACATGATTGGTCCAGTAATCAGCCACAGGAGCTGTAGACTTTGTCCCCCTCAATGCCCTACATGGAAAGAAATTACTTCTATGTACTTCATCCTGCTGAGTGTGTGTGTGTGTGTGTGTGTGTGTGTGTGTGTGTGTGTGTGTGTGTGTGTGTGTGTGTGTGTGTGTGTGTGTGTGTGTGTGTGTGTGTGTGTGTGTGTGTGTGTGTGTGTCAGATTCTCCGCATGAGTTTGAAGCTGTCACTCACTGACAGTTCAACATTATTTTAAGTAATTAAAGCAACAATCATGATTCATGATAGGTAGGTAATTCTGTAACTCATCTTCCCCCCTCACTTACACAGCCTTCAGGCCAAAAGATTCCCACTGAGATTCAGCAATTATGTTTCACAGAATCCGGCATGCACACACAAAGAGAGCACTCCAGTATTTTTACACTGGTTACACTGGTCTGTAACACTTAGCCACTGGTCTATGTGATGAAGATTTCCAGAAGAGTTCCTGCAGAGACTGTTATTGTTAGTGAATAAATTGGCAAAATTTGTCAATAAAGTGAGACTCCATTAAGTGTGCTGTCTTTACCTCCTTTACCTCCTTATTATGCTTGCTTACAACAGAACATAGTCTTGTCTCTCCTACATAATGTATCTTGCTAAAATGAGAGAAAACTCATTAATACTGTAGAAAACAGAACTGTATGAGCTGATAAAGACCTGTTGATTTTTTTTAGAGGTTCATTATTGACCAAAAAAGAATAAAAAGAATGAACTGCTGTTCATCAGGAAATAGTTCCAGCAGCTAATTCAACCTAAAACAGCAAAGATGCATGTTAATAAATGATTTTTAGCTGGTCTAATGTGTATATTTTATTTGGACAGAGCCAGGCTAGCTGTTTCCCTTTGATCCCAGTCTCTATGCAAAGCTGAACTAATGGCCTCCTACCTCTAGCTTCATACTGAACACTTACATGAGAGTGGTATCGACCTTTTCATCGAACTTTCGGAAAGAAATTGAATAAGTATATTTCCCAAAGTGTTGCACTATTCCTGTAAGTACAAATACCAAACACAGGTCAAAGCCCCTAACAGCTCCTTGTTTCACGCTAACCTCCTTCTAACGTAGACACACAAACTTTTCTTGCCTTTGCGATCCTGCTGTCTCTTTAATGAAGGCTGGGTTAGTAGCACCAGTTATTTCCAGCACCTCTCGGTGGGCCTATAAATAGAGCACACACACACACACACACACACACACACACACTTTTTCTTCTCCTTCACCTCTGTGTGAGGTGGTCTGGTTTTGACATCCAGGTGTTCTTCAGCATTTGCTAATTTCATGCTTACAAGGTTTACCCAATAATTCTGTTTATGCAGACAGCCACTGATACATTGCTGTGCACACAGTTCTTCACCTTTCCTCTTAGTTTTTCCTTCATCTGTAGATGAACAGTGGTTTACTGATTGATCTTATTTGCAAAGGTTTGGTCTTCCTTATCTCATTGTCTTGGTGTCACTGATATTTTTTATAATAGGCCAAAAATGTGTTAAAAACTTGGTGCATGTATGTTACAACGTGGTTGTTAAGTGTCTCTCCTTTCTGTCTGTCCCTGTCTCTGCAGCATCAGACAACAGCCAGCGATTTCAGGAGACGTGTTTCGCCTTTGCATTAACGCCACAGCAAGTCCAGCAGATCAGCAGCTCTATGTAAGATGAACACCACTCTGTCACTGCAAGATGCTGATAAATAATTCATAAATGTACATGTTCTCTACAGATGTGTGGTGATGAATTTGTTTCTGTGCTCAAAGGGACATCTCGGGGACCAAATGTGACTTCTCAGTTCAAGTTCAGTTGCGGTTTTGCCTGTCGGAGACGAGCTGTCCTCAGGAAGACCATTTTCCACCCAATCTGTGTGTGAAAGTCAACGGGAAGCCATGTAACCTTCCGGTAGAAAGCTCTGATTTAACCACATAACAACCTGCAAAACATCTCTGTTCTGACACTCACATCTGAAGAGCGACAGGCTTTTCATTTCACCTTCTCTACCTTGTCCCTCGTGTTAGTTTAAAAGACATTTTCTTGTCGAGTATAAGAATTTAACTTCATAATATTCGCAACAAAAAGGGCAAATTTTCTCCTTTTTCTTTCTAATATTCATGTCTTTCATCTAGGGTTATCTTCCTCCAACCAAAAACGGCGTAGAGCCCAAGAGGCCCAGCCGGCCCATCAACATTACCTCACTGGTCAGATTGTCCACCACAGTCCCCAATACCATTGTGGTGTCGTGGACCGCTGAGATCGGACGGGTAAGGACCAAAGTCTCTCACAAGAGACTCTTGAACTGCCAGTTTTTATAATCCTGATACCATTTTTCCTCCCTGTTATTAAATCCTGAACATATATATAGGCTGTATGATTGCTATCATTGTTCTGTGGCCTGGTTCAGGTTAAACCCATTGTCAGACTCAGAGAAATGGTGAAAATGGTGAACCTGACACTGCTAGGAAGACACAGGGTCCTCTTTAAAAGCTAATAAAATACATGGTATCGGATCGGTGCAGAGCCAATGATTTAGGAAGCATTGGAGGGATTTTGGTTTTGGAACTACTCTAATAATCAGTGACAGTTTTGATAAGTGATTAAGTCAATTATCAAGTAAAATTATTTCCTTTTTATCAGCAAATGTAAAATCTAAAGATTTGCTTGCTTTTTTCTGTGTCTTGTCCTTTTTATAGGGACCGAATAAATAAAGTCAGATGTCACTTTGGGGTTTGGTGACTTATGATGCTTTTTTACAATTCTGTCTGCACATACTCACCTTTATATAATCCATGGTTAATTTAAATACAAACTCTTCGTCTTAAAGAAGTACTTGCAGAGTTCTTGGAAATCTTTCTTAATCCTGATTATTATGCCAATTTATGCAACAAGCTTCAAAATCTGATTGGATCGGGCGCTGCGTATGGAGAATTATCATGTTCTTGAGGTTATTGTGTTCACGTGGATGAGACAGACACAGCGACAGGAAAATGTTCTACAACATGTGACGGAACAGAAAACTGTCTATATTAAGATGAATGAAGACTTAAAGAAGACTTCCATTATACCCAGTAGCTTTAAATTCAGCATTGAGCCTTCTTGCCTACAGTACTTGTGTGATTAAATGGTTGCGTGTTTGTTTTATGTGTGTGTGTGTGTGTTCACCACATGCATGTGCGTGAGAAGCATTTTTTTAAAAGCAGGAAGTGGGATTTCTGGCCACCACTGTGTTGAGTTCTTAAAGCCACAAATCTTACACATGAGCATTTAATACAGAGCAAAGTGAGGAAGAGCAAAACCACGACTTCAGGGAAGGCCCACACATGTTACCTTGTATGGTCAGAATGCATGCTGAGTGAAATCTGATGGTACAGATACTGACAAAATCCCCTTTTTATTAAACATTTTTAACCAAATAAATCTGTGAATTTGACCGAAAATAGTCTATTATCTCCCGTTTAATTCATCCTCAGCACTCCATTATGTAAAATAGTTTTTTAATGACTTATTTATCATTTTTACTGTTTATAATTCTTATAAATATGCGTGTAACATAAAGGGAACTACGCCCTGAATTTCATTATACAGCCCTGCATTGTAAAATGACAATTAAATACCTTGTATCTTTGCATATATTGTCCTTTATTGAGTTGGGTGGAGCTTGCAGTACTGCAGACAGACAGTAGAGGGCAGTGTATTAAATAGCTCAAGTATAAACTGGCCTTAAACGTCAGAGTACAGTGCACAAGTTCTTCCTTTTCCCCGTTCTTCCTCACACTTGGCTGATGATACGTTTGTCTCAGAGCAGTAGGATCGACTTCATGTTAGAAAACATCTTTTCTGCTGAAGTTAACTTGAGTTCAAGGACATTTTCTGTAAGTGCCCACAACTCTGTCTCTGGCAGGAAAAACAATGTCTATATTTGATTTAAAGTACCACTTTGCACATTATTACATGGTATCTATTTGTGTGTGTGTGTCCACAGAGTTACTCCATGGCAGTGTACTTGGTGAAGCAGCAGTCATCCACAGTGCTGTTACAGAGACTACGGGCAAAAGGCATCAGAAACCCAGACCACTCCAGAGCACTCAGTAAGGACCGTGAGAGATCCGATATGTTGGATTAGTATCAGGACAAATGTTGACCTTATTAAGCTGATGACTGATCCGCGTTTAACTTCATTTGTTTTGAGTCATGACAGGCCACTAACTAGGACCAGAACAATCTCTGGCTTCATGTTAACACAAATACAAATGATCCAGTCTATGAATTTCACACACTGATTTTTAATTTGGGAAAAAACTAGAGCGTTGTCGGATCAGTATGATGGCCTGAGTTGAGGGATTTTTTTGGCTATGAAGAGAACTGTGTGTTTTTATTTGAGTCCAACTCAGATATTAGCTGGCCAACATATGGTTTTATAAGGATAGTGTTGTGAAATATGCGTATAAGTTTCATGATTTACCTTTTTTTCTAATATGTAAGTGTATATTGAATGTGATATCTTGTCTGTTTGATGAGGAAAAATTGGGACTGGTGGTGAGATGAGTTTTTTACTTCATAACTTCTTATCTTAGGGAGAAATTTAATAATATTTTCTGGTGATCTTGATTTGAAACTCTGTTATAAGCAGGGAAGTCCTGCTTTAGTTTCCCAACACACACCTATTGTACTTTCTTGATAAAAAAAATGTCCCCCCATTCAGATTGCCCAATTGTTTCCCATTCCAGATGAGGAAGTAATTCTTTATGAGTCACACAATTGGATATATCTATCTGTATATATTTTTATACTGTTCTGGGAAGTGATTTAAGAAGATTCAGGCGCAAAGGGCTCAGCCGCACACCAGAGTTACGGTATTATAGTTTGGTATTTGTTTTTATTTTTATTTCGTTTTTAAGTTTGGTTGTCACTGCAGTTTAATTTTAGTTTTTATTAGTTTCATTGTCAGTTTCTTTTTATTATAATATGGGTTATTTGTCAGGAGCAAGATGTACGACGTTCAGAATAGGTATTACAATACAAATACATTGACTCACAGTCATGTAGATATTCCAGTCTCAATAAACAGGATGCACCAATACCTCCTCATGCTTGTATTTTTATTTTATTTTAGTTAATTTAGTTTTTTTTTCTAGATTTAAGTTTTTATTTCAGTTAACTAAAATGTTAACAGTTTTTAGTTGACTATAATAACCTTGCCCCTCACCACTTGAACAACTCTTGAATACAAGTAATAAAAGAGTCTGAAATGGGAAACTGAACATGTTTGTAACAATAAGTCATTCTTTTTGGTTCTCACTCGTGTGTGTGTGTGTGTGTGTGTGTGTGTGTGTGTGTGTGTGTGTGTGTGTGTGTGTGTGTGTGTGTGTGTGTGTGTGTGTGTGTGTGTGTGTGTGTGTGTGTGTGTGTGTGTGTGTGTGTGTGTGTGTTTAACTTCTCTTCTGCAGTCAAAGAGAAGCTAACAGCGGACCCAGACAGTGAAATCGCCACGACCAGCCTTCGAGTGTCACTGCTCTGTCCGGTAAACATGCTTCAGGTTCTTCATGTATTTTACGCAGTGTTTAGAGATTCAGTCATGTCTTATCTTTGTATGAGTTATAACATGTCCATATGCCCTTAACTTCAGCTTGTGTACACAATCCACCTGTCAAATTGTCTTCTAAACCCCTATCCTGTGTCCTTTCCATGTGGGTTTGGCATGTTTGTAATATTTTTGCGTCCCGTATATCCGCCATCCCTGCTGTTTGTGTCCTCCTCACGCCTTTACTCTACGTGTGTGTGCACGCTGTGCAGCTGGGGAAGATGCGGCTGGTGATCCCATGCCGGGCGCTGACATGCTCCCACCTGCAGTGCTTTGACGCCACGCTCTATATCCAGATGAATGAGAAGAAGCCCACCTGGGTGTGTCCTGTCTGTGACAAGAAGGCTCCCTATGAACACCTCATCATCGACGGGTAAGTCCCCCCACCCCCCGTCTCCCCGTTGTGTTAAAACTAAATGTTCAAACTAAATCTCAAAACATTAAATCCAAAAACACCATAAATCATTTTTACATTTTTTTTATATATATATATAAAGTGTTCATTAGTGAGCTATCAGAGGTGCTGGTAGGTGGATTTTGTTACCTTAGGACAGAGCCAGGATAGCTGTTCCTCCCTGTATCCAGGCCTAAGCTAAGCTAAGCAGCGGATGGCTGTAGCTTCATATTCTCACAGACATCTTAACTTGTGCCAAGAAAGCAAATGAGCTTATTTCTCAAAATATCAAACTATACCTTTAACTTTGTCGAGCAACCAGAGATGGGAAATAGCTGTTGAGCATTTACAGTGTACATTTTACAGTTTTACAGCTGTTTTTTTTTATATATATTATATATATTATATATACATATATATATATATATATATATATATATATATATATGATCTAAACCAGTAGCTCCCAAAGTGAGGGCCGGTACCCCCACTAGGGGTCGCCCAAGCCTTCTTGATTTTAAGGGGTGTAAAACATACACAGTAGGTCTATATCTCAACATTTCCTTCATTTCTGTGAAGAAAATTAAATGAAATTGTTATTTGAAGGTCTTTTAAGGTTTAGATTATGATTTAAGATCTAAACTTGAAAACAAACTATATTCACAGAGCCTTCACTCTCTGATGAGCAGCCTATATTAGAAAACTTCAAATAACCAAAGAGCAAATAGAACAATGAGAATAAAACACTGAATTTGTCAACAAAAAAAGCCTGTTATGTCTGTATGATTGTTAAAATGTTAAGTAGTTAAAAGTATATAAATATCAAGTAAACTCCTCTCTGCTGTAATATTTACAGAAAATTCATCGGATCATTTGACCTGTCCCGCAGTTATTACTACTACACTATTTGGGTTCATTGTACAATTTATACTGTTATTGACATATGAAAATGTGTCACTCTATCACGGCTCATCAGTTTACGCAGTGATAGAAAAGGGAGTCCTTAAGGAAAAAGGTTGGGATCTAAACTGACCCCTGTCTTTCACTTTTAAACATTTTGTGTTTTGTAAGAAAATACTAAACCTGTCTGATACATTGTGATTTATATACATTCATCTCAAATCATCATATGTAGCATTTTAAAGGACTGTAAATCTAATTTATGAGCATCCTGTAGGATTGAAGGTGGCTCTGAGTATCTAGACAGCAGCTTTAGTGAACTTGAATTCACAGTAGAAACTGTGGGTCACTTAAAAATTTGTCCAAAATGTTCCTAAACCTACCTTGTAATAATATTAAAAGATACATTTGATGATTTCAATGAGTATTCCTTAAACTCAGTAAAATGTTCTGAGTAGACCGACCTTTACAGCACAGTGTTGATGTTAGCCTGTTTAGAGTAGATTTCTTGTCTTTAATTCATTTAAAGTGGAGGGTCCTTTCCATTAAACCTTTGTTTAGAAAATACTGATTTCAGGTGTGTGTTTGTGTACTTTCTCTTGGACTGGGTTTGTGCATGACGTTTATGTTTGTTCTCAGGCTTTTCGTGGAGATCCTCAACAGCTGCATGGACTGTGACGAGATCCAGTTCAAGGAGGATGGCAGCTGGGCGCCGATGAGGTCTAAGAAGGAAGTGCAGGAGGTCTCCTCTGCCTCCTATAACAACGGGCTGGATGGTGAGACATGTCATAAGGGATGAATGGGGGACAGGGTTGGGGTAAAAAGGGTTGCTTCTACATGAAAGCAGTGAGTGAAGACTGGAAGTAATTAAATTAGGATTAAAGAGACAGGGTAAGAATAGAGAGATCCCCTCCCCTTTTTGTTTATGCATTGTCAGTTTTAATTTGGTAAGGCATCAATCTCAATGGCACTGAATAAACTGCCTGTCTCCATAGTAACAAACATACTGTATTTCACATGAGGGCAGGGGAAATGTGTATGTGTGCATTTCAGTTCACTCACAGCATGTTTTTTTTTTTTTACTTTGCTGTCTCAGAAAACCATAAAAACAAGCACACAAACTAATACGTCCCTGCTGCTCTCCAGGTTCATGTCGGACGTCTGCTGGCTCAGATCAGCGGAGCTCCTCGTCGTCCAGCCACGGCGACAGCAGCAACAGCAAGAAAGTGGAGGTGATCGACTTGACACTGGACAGCTCCTCAGAGGACGAAGGACAGGATTCGCCGCCTCCGCCGGCGCCACCACTGCCTCCTCCACCTAAAAGAGCGTGTCCCTCTATGTCCCCGACCTCGCCGCCTGTCATCAACAAAGGGTCAGACACACATTCCACACTGTGATTTCATCTCTGCACGCAGTTTGTGTTTCATTAAATGTGGTAATGAGGCTCAGTTTAGCTTCTCACACAGGTAGTTAAGTATCTAGATGTTAAATGATTCATGAGTTTCTGCACTTGAACTCACAAGTTTCTTTTACCATTTCTCAGCAGCAGCACGCACAGTAGGTAGCTCAGAGTGCTGAGAGAAAGCTTTGTGTCCTAACTCCTTTAGTTAAAACTGATGTATTGATCTAGAAATAGGTTGGTTGGTTTACTTCCAGTTTAAGGTCCAGTGTGTAACATTTAAGGAGGATCCATTGGCAAAAATGGAATATAATATTCGTAGGTATGGTTTCATTAGTGTATAATCACCTAAAGGTAAGAATCTTTGTTGCCTTAGAATGAGCCTTCTACAAAGGGAACGGGTCCTCTTCTACGGAGTCCACTGTTTTGAACCAACATAGATTCTCTTTCGTGCTTGGAAGGGGAGGGTGAAGGCAGGGAGTTGCAATCTGCAATGACACCACTAGATGCCACTAAACCTTACACACTGGACCTTTAACAAACATACTGTATGAAGTAAAAGTCTCATTTATTTTTGTCAAAGAAAATGTGACTCACAGTTGGAGTTCTTCTAAAAAGTCGAAGGTACAAGCTTGTTTGAATAAAGACTGTGTGAGAGTTAACTATGACTCCCAAATTATGGCAAGAAACATCCAATCACCTTTACAATCACAATTTTGTCACGTGTGCCGCTGATGGAAGCCAAAGATTGTGCTTTTGAGAAAACTTTTAATCTGTAGCTTAAATTAGTTAACTTTTAATCTTGGTGTCTTGTGAACTTTGGTTGAATTCTGCAGCTAAGGTGACACATTTTGTTAACAAAGCGTTTTGAATTTGCTACTCCTCTGATTTGTGCCTCTGACTTTATTCTTCTCCATGGCGAAGGCAGCTGAGGCTAATGGGTATCATAGTATTTAGAGCTGTTCTTCATGGCAACATGACGGATAAAACATGATTTCTGAAATAATTGAAAGAGGTGTTCTAGCATAAACCATGCTTATGACACGATCCGCGAAGGTGAGGATATTGTTGAAAGAAAAGACTGAAAAGAGAATACAAAGTGGAGAGAAACATTTCTGTAACCAGCAGCACCTTGCACTTAGAAATTCTACAAAAGATTTTAATCCAAGCTCGCTGAAACATTTAACAGCTACATTTTCTGTCAAATTAAAATTCATTATGGGTAGAAACTGGTGCTTCTTTTGACTTTAATGAATCCTGTGGCTGTTTTTGTTCGGAGGTTTTTGTTTCGAGGTCAGCGGAGGCGACAGTACGCCGTGTGCCTTACCCCGATGAATATGACATGAAATAAACGCCTGCAGTAATTATAAATATGCTGGCCTCTTTTACTTCTTCATCTCTAAACCTCTTCCTCTGTATCTGCCTTCAGAGTGTTGAACCTACACCACCAGGCCTCTCCTGTGAGCCGTACTCCCAGCATGCCAGCCGTGGACACCAGCTACATCCCTCCTGTCCCCCCACTTATCCAGGACTATAGACCCTACTACCACACCCCCAACGATCTGTCAGGTAATGACAAACACACAGACGCAAGAAGAGTTGGAAATATTCATGGGAGCGAGTTCGCTGCTTAAAACAACAGATTAGAAGTGACATATAATACATGTATTTAAACAGAACTGTATTTAATTTTAGAATCCGTCTTTCCATCTTTAAACTGATAGTAGTCAAACTCTCCTAACTTTATTTCAAATAGTACTGAACATATAGAATTTTAATTTCCCCTACAGCGGATCAATAATGGAACATTTTAACTTATCTTAACTTAAAATACTGTGTCAGGCAGAATTTATATATATAAAATGGCTGTCTTAAGGGCTGTCCACACCAAGAACAATAACGATAATGATGTGAGCTTCCACAGTGATGAATGACAACGTTGTGTAAACAGTTAATAGGAGAATGTATATTGATGAGCTGTTACTGCTGTACGTTGCACATAGAAACAGAAATAGAAAAGTATCTGGGTTCACAAAGTTCCTCAAAGACAAGAGGAGCTAGGAGAAACAACAAGAGTTGTGATCTTCTGCTGACAACAAACTTTTATTCATACTGTGGTAAAAAAAAAAAAAGAGGACATCAGTTCGGACTTCAGAGACCCTATAAGCACTAAAGACGGTTTGACAGTGAGTCTCAGGTAGAATGATGTTTTTCTATTTGTGATTTACAGCCTAAAAGCGTGTAATAAGTTGTATACCAAAATGTTGTTCATCAAATTGCTCTGAAAGTTAATAAAAGAAGTAAAATATATATTTATAGTTAGAGTTAAAGTTCTTGTTGTAGACGGACCTTGAGAATGACAACTGAATTTTATTTTCATTTAGTTTCTTTCTATAAAGGTCAAATACTAGTTTTTATGAAATATTTGGTTGAGAATACAATATATATAATATGCCTCTGGCTATTTATATATTTGTGTCTGTGATATTGATTTTTGTTGATATTCACTCTTGACTCTGCCTGTCTTTGATTTCCAGAGTTGAACTTCTTCTCTTTCCTTCAAGGTGACAATCATCAGGTATGTACAACAGTGCATCACGTTATGTGGAGCTCTGGAACACTTTTGAAAAATGAGAGGAGGCTAATGGTCGGTTAATAACAAGCAATTATCATTTTGCAAATTAAACACAGTGGTTTAGTTTATTTGTATGTGGTGGCAAATTCATCTGGTAATTTTTCACTGAATTGTCTCGACTCATCCTTGCCAAGAGGCCAAGATCACTAATAGGCATCTTCTCAAATACCAGCCAAAGGGAAATTATTGAACATTTAGTCATTGGTTTAAAGAAACAAAAACAAAAAGTGAAAATATGTGAATCAAATCATTTTCATTGTGAATCAGAAAATGGTCAGAGGGCCACCCAGCACCCTCTTGTGGACTAGATTTGGCATGTGGGCCGTAAGAAGCTCATTTTAAAATAATACGAGGGCTCTGACTGTAACCATAAGATATAATTGTGCTTACTAAAAAACAAACAAAGCGAAAGCCCTGCACTTAGTGTTCCTCTATAACAAATGTCTGTAAATAGAACAGTGATTAAAGCTTAAGAAGTTTTAAAAACCTATTTTAAAAACTTGATATTTGGTGGAATTGCTTGTAAAATGTCACATAACCTGCAGGTTTGCAGTGTACCTTTCTCTGTGTGTACTAGTGAGCACTTAATGTCATCCTTCCTGTCTGTTTCTGCCTCCACAAGCTATTTAAGGACACATGAAAGCAAGTCATTTGACAAATGATGGTTTACGCCCCACAGTTACTGGTGGGTTGAATTCTCTGAGGCAGTCAGACATAAACACAGACATCTCTTTATTTCTGTTACCCTCATCTTTTCATTCTGCGCCGTTTGATTTCTGTTATTTCAAATTAAATTCAACAATAATTACATTTATTTTTGCTTTTCTAATGCGGTAAGCAGAGCACCACTAAGTAATGGAGGCAGAAATCAAAACTACCTGCACAGCTGGATACCACTAGACATTATTGAGTAATGATTTATTTATTACTGAGCATAGTAGACCCTTATTAACTCGGCCAGCATCATAATATGCTTTTAAAAGTTCATTAATGTTGTATTTTTTATAAAACTCTGGCGCAGTCAGGCTCATTACCTGCAGCAGCTACAGGCAGACTTTTAGTGAGTGCCTCTAACTTCTCCTAGCATTAGGAGCTGCTTTTAGTGCATGCTTAATGAAAAATGCTTAATGAACCACTCTTGGACTAAAAACATTCATGCTGCTTAATTACAGGAGTTCTCCAGTCTCAGCCAGTCGTGAGCACCTTTAGCAGGGCTCAACAGTGGGAGCTTCCCACTTCTCCGGGACAAGTAAAATGACACTTTGGGCTTGTAAATCTCTATAAACAATAAAAAAGAACGGAACACATTGTTTTTTTTAGTTTATGAGCTGAATTGCAAGCAAGCATCCTGGAAACCGGAGTTCAGTTACAGGATGTGCGCAAAGTGGTTTTCAAAGGCACATCAAGTTTCTGAAAAATATGTCTCTGGAGGGCAATAGCAAAAGCTGACAGGCAGCTAAGAGGGTCTTTGTTCATATAGTTCGTAAAGGGGCAAGCAAAAAATTTACTTGGGGCAAGTAGATTTCTGACCCACTTGTAAGTGAGAAAAAAAACATAAACATTGAGCCCTGATTTCAGTGGTGACTTTAGCAACCTCTAAATGTGAACTCACTAGGGTCTTTCACTTCCTGTTTCTCCCACGATTCAGCATTACAACATGGTGATGGCAGCAGCGGCCGCCGCTTCAGCCTCAGACGACCACGAGCTGCTTCTCAACCGCTTCCTGCCCTACAGCACCTCCTCCTCCTCTTCCTCCCAGCTGTTCCTCGACCAATCGGGAGCCTCTTCGGCCACTTCGCTGACCGCGCCGACCAACGGGGCGAGCAACTCGGGCAGCACCAGCAGCCTGGTCTCGTCCAGCAGCCTCCGTGACACTCACTCCACGCACTCGTCCTCACACTCAGGCTCACACTCCTCACACACACACCCCGGGGTGGTGGCCAGCCGGAGCAGCGCCGAAGCAGCAGTGGCAGCTATTTACGGCGGGATACCTGACATTATATCGTTGGACTGACTCAAGAAGAGCCAAGACTATACTTTGGGTCCAGCTACAATCCAGTAACAAACTGTTTGGCTGCAGGGTAAAGTTTTGATCCAGAAACTAGACTGGGCCCAAGTCATCAAACTCAGAACGTTGGTGGAGTCGTAATGACAAGACTGCCTCAAGAAGAGCACTAATATTATGATGGTTCCCTTCACTAGACTGACCTGAGAACAGTACTGAGTCCCTAAAGGGGTCAGCTGTGGGCATTGTGTTGGTATACTGACTTCAGATCAGAAACCTGTCCAGCATGTGAACCCACGTTACTGTTAGACTGGTACCAACCCGGCACAAACAGCAAAGACGCTACCTGAGCAAAAACACAAAGGAGGAAGGCTCTTTTTTTTACAAAAATAAGGAGTGGCACCGTGTACAGAGAACAAAATATATTTTCCTCTTTTACTTTTGTATGTTAAATCGGGACATTTTCAGTCTAGTGAGCTGCTTCAATCGCTGTTTTTAAGTGGAGGACTGGAGATTGTTTCGGGGGTTTTTTTCTCACAAAAGCTTATACATATGCCTGTTGCCATGTGATTATCCTTTTCTTCTTCTCTTTTAGCTCTATCCTGCTTAAAATTTCCATTTTCATTTCAATATAGACTTTCTTATAGACATTCTATCGCTCTCTCTTTTTATCTTTATCTCTTGCTCAAGCTCATTTTTTAATTCATGGTGTATTATTTCTCTATCCAATGACAAGAACTTTTCAGACACTGAATTTACAGTTTATTCATGTACTAATAATTTTATAATGCTTTTAAGTTATGTATGATATTTAAACTGTTATGAATATATATATATATATATATATATATGTGTATATATATATATATGCATTCCCTTTGACCTTCAGGTTAATGCTGTGGGGAGTGTGTAGATGGAAAGTAGCCATTTCTGGTTTTTCATTTTCACTCCTTAATTTCCAACTCCTTACAAAGACTCTGCCGGTATACAGCATTTAGAAATGGAGATTTTTAGACTATTTATATTTGCCAATTAAGAGTTTTGAGCTGGAAGAGTTCCTTTTGTTTTTTCTTTTTTGCGCAATGCCAAAAAAAACACGGTACCTATGAAAATTATCACAATAATCAGAGTGCAGTTGAATCTGTGTGCCACAGCGTTTTCAGTCACATGTCCACTTCTCTGGTTTCAGCTGGGGGTTATTCAGACACTCAAACTGTGCCCTTTTGTCTCTTGTCTTCTCACTTTCATCCTTTTGTGACTGTTAAAAAGGAATCTAGCTGTTGTAGCAGCGTTGGGGATTTTAAAGACACACGCCTCTGAGTTTAAACTAGTGCCTGTTTATGTGCGTGCTTCATGGCGTGTTTTTCTAAACTCAAAAGAATGTCTGAAATGGTCACACATAAACCGTCTGTCCCATCCCTTTCAAAGACTTGACTTGCGTTATCTTGGGAGTTATCTTTGGGAAACTGCATAGAAGAGTGTGAGCAGACAGTTTAGTGCCACAGTGAAACAGGGAGATGTCAACCAGCCAACTTAGACTGGGCACAAAGCCAGCTGGTTTAAAAATACATGACGTGTCTGTAACCTAAAAGCCCTACGAGCTAGTCCGCGTACAATGTGGATGTGTCGGAGGTCTCGGAATACCTCGACATCGTCGCCATTCAGCTGAAAAGGCAGCGTTTGCTAATGAATGTATTGTGCAATTTTTAGAGTGGACACACTTCTGGGTCTTTGCTTCCATTTCACTTATTACCAGATGTTGTTTGCAGTCTGGTCACATACGTACAATAGTACCCCTCCTGCCCCGTCAGCCCACCCCCTCCTACAAGCCCGTGTGTCCTTGAAACTTTCCCAGAATCCCCTCTTATCCGTCTCTCCCCCGATGTTCCACTTCCAGACGTCCGAGACAGGCAGCTCACTTCAAAGCCTCATTATCCCCACCACGATGAGATAATCACTTCCGACAGCAAACCCCATCGTCTGACATCCCCTGTCCTGTCCTTGAGCATCTAACTGGGAGACTAAAATGACCCCAACCCTTCTTCCCAGCCTTGCTCTCTCTTGGCATCTTTAACTTTATTCCCTGCTCTTCTCATGGGAACCAACCCTCCGGCTCTCAAACCGACTGCCGGAAACAAGTCTTGTGTATTTCCTGTGTTGTGCAGTATTTTATTTATTTTGTATTCTTATTTCTATATATTATATTTTTACAAATTGTTTGATTTCCATGGGTGAGTGTGTGAGAGTCACTGTCACTCGGGAGCCGTTGTGATATGATTTTATTTAATATGCATTTTATTATTCTTTCTATTATTTCTCAAAAAGGTACCGTGTAGTTATTCATCTTGGAAATGCCTGTGTGTATTTTCTTGGGAGCTGACATGGGTAACACTTAATAAGGGTACAAAGCACATGCTTGCTTAATACATGCATGACTCGTGATTATTTAATGTGTGAATTTATTCAGGATGTATTATGAATTCCTGTTGCTCACTATTAAGAAATGATGAATAATGGGTCATCAATTACTGATTAACTCACAGCTACTTCATACATTATACATTTACATGCCACCAAATTAGCTGGAATCCAGTTATATAGAAAAAGGGCAGTGCTAAGTATAAGGCTAAAACCTTATAAAACAACTAAAATATTAACTATTAGATGGATTATCATTACATTTTGTGCTGACATTCACGTCCCTAGAGTATAAATCCTACTGCACTGATTTGTGCGTTATTTGTGAAATGTGGCCGATATCAGGTCAAAGTCCTGAAGTGACCTGCATGACGAATGTAGATCTAGACGTCACATGAATTCTGATATGACTGATCAGATTCCATGTTATTTGTGCTGTTCACACTATCCCTGTCCAAAGGGGACCAAAGAAACCATCTAAAATTGGTGGTTTTGAATTTTCTTGAGAAGTCTCGTACTTCTTAAGCTAAATAAAACCTCTTAAAAACCCATCGAGTTAGCTAAAGAAACATGGTTTACACAGAGGAAAACAAGGTTATTTTCTGTCTGCTGGTTAAAAAGTAGACGTCTTGGAGATGCTTGAGTTTCACAGCGATAATACTGTATGCAACCGGATTCCAGCTAATTTGTTTCCATAGTAATTAATGTATAAAGTAACTGATGAGCCATGAAGTATGAAGTAATCATATAAACCCACAGTGACTTGATCATTTATTAATAGTGAGCAACAGAAACTCGTGACACATCACGGCTCATGTATTCGTTATACATTACATGTGTGTTTGAACCTTTATTAAGACGTGTTGCTGTACTGATGAAGATGTTGATCCTTTAGTTTCCATCATGTTATGTTGAATATTAATCACCAGTGTTTGGATACTTGATACGGTGGTCACAGTTAATGAAAGCATTTGATCACTTTTTAATTTATTTAAACGACTTCTTCTTTCCCCACGCCTGTCATGAGACGGTGCAGCAGATTACGCACATGAAGTGAGAGAGCAGACCGTGTTGAATGTGTTTCTGTTCAAGTGCTCTACATACCGATGGGAGGAAGGGGGTCTATATGGGATTACTGAACAGTCAGATCCCCCTCCCCTCCGACTTGTTTCATATAAATGTCCACAGCTCTAGTTCACAGTTGTTAGTTTTCTAAGGGGAAGTTATTATTATTATTATTATTATTATTATTATTATTGAGCTGTGTTTTCTTTCTTTCACTCTACCATATTTGCTTTTTTGATAGAAAAAGTGAGATTGCATGCAGTGGTGAGGAAGCACAGGACTGTTTCCATCTCAAACCGCCTCCAATTTCAGTCACAAATAGGTGCGAACCAGTGCGTAGTGCAGGTACAGCATTTTCACAGCAGCTTATGCGTTTGCTGGTTTGAACTCTGTGCAGAAACTGGGCCAAAAACCAGTGTCTGCACAGAATAAAGTGAATGGAATAAGGCCACTATTATCAGTAGTTCAGCAGTTACTCTCCACAGGCAACCTTTTTTTATTTTCGCGTTTCGCTTTTATTGACAGGACAGTAGAGAAAGACAGGAAAAAGAAGGGGTGAGAAAGGGGATGACATGCAGCAAATGGCCTCGAGACTCGAACCCGGGCCGCTGTGGTAGGGACTCAGCCTTGACACGTGGCATGTGCTGCACCCGGTGAGCTACCGGGGTGCCCCCTCCACAGGCAACCTCAACAAAGCAGCTCAAGTCTTTGGTTGTCATGATGTCTCAACCTTAGATAAAAGGGAAGAGTCAACAATGTGTATTATATGTCTGTATGGAAACCTGAACATTCAGATCCAAACGTGGGTGTTTGATGTCCGTTTGTATGCTTTTTGTGTGTCAATTCAGAGCAAGAGAATAAATTAATTTATATATTTTTTAGAAAATGAAAGCTGTACTATTATTAAAAAAAAAAAAAAAAAAGGACTGTGGCCAATAAAGAGTCTTACACACCTGAAATAATCTCAAAGTCAGTCGACATCTGCACTCACTGCCTTAAAACATTCACAGGTTCTGTTTCATGGCTCCAATCCGAGAAAAATCATAAAAAGGCTTTTCAAGGAGGGCGAGGAGAAGACGGTGTACAGTAGACCCTTGTCAGTTTGTACAAATATACTAAGTGAAAAAAATATTTATTACCTGCATTGGAAGAAATTGTTTACTTATTGAATGTTACCTGTTTATGTAGAAAAGTTTAGATGTAATAAAATGCATTCTGTTATTTCTCTTGTGTTTTTCCCTTTATTTTAAAGCCTGTTGTGCTTAGAATTGAACACTGGGTGGCGACAGAGAGTCGCTTTGATTAAGTTTTCCCTTCCTGTGATGGTACAAAAACCAATTACGCACGCTTTGTCAACTCCAGCTGGTGTCTTCCTGGCTGTGACACAAGCTATACTTAACATGTACATCTCAAATTATTAATTGGATGGTTTTTTTTTCTGGATTAAAAGTGACGGGGGAGCCTCCGCAACGCACAAGAACGACGGGCGCATCAGACCCAGTGAACACCTCAACCCCACCATCTCTTTCATCCTGTCAGAGCAATGCTGTTGGATGATTATGCGCCTTGGGGGAGAAAGGAGGGGAGATGACAGGAGGGGTGGGGTGGATTCTGACGGAGGAGTCGGGATGGCTTCACGTACTTGTCACTAATGTGGCACTCTTAAGATCCAGCTGCATTTGGACATGTTTTCATTGAGCTTGTTTATGGACTTCTCTCTGGTTAGATTATCTTGAAGTGTCCGTGAGCTGCTGGAACAATGAATGAGGGAAATGAAAGCGTGTGTTTGAACAGGTCTCTGACTGAGATGGACAGCTTCAGCAACCTGGAGGACATCGACGTGACAGCTGACGGGAGCCCGATTCTGAGATTCCTCATCTGCCTGGTTTATTCTGTAGTCTGCGCTGCGGGTCTGATGGGCAACCTGCTGGTCCTCTTCTTCATCAGGGTCAAACAAGAGAGGAAGAAGTCCAGGGTGAACTTCTTTGTGCTCAACTTGGCAGTGACGGACCTGCAGTTCGTGCTCACTCTGCCCTTCTGGGCTGTGGACACCATGCTGGACTTCAGCTGGCCGTTTGGAGACGCCATGTGTAAAATCATCCTGTCGGTCACCGTGATGAACATGTACGCCAGCGTGTTTTTTCTCACTGCCATGAGTGTGACCCGCTACTGCTCAGTCGCCTCGGCTCTGAAGAACAGAACCGTGCATAAGTCCTGTTCCACCAAGTGGATTTGCGCAATCATTTGGACACTGGCGACTCTGGCGACTGCGCCGACGTCGATTTTCTCAACTGTCAGCAACGTAACCGGAGAAAAACTCTGTTTGCTGAGGTTTCCAGGTGGGCAGTACTGGTTAGCAGTTTATCACATACAGAAAATACTTGTAGGTTTCGTATTGCCGATGTCCATCGTGTCCATCAGCTACATCATGCTGCTGCGTTTCATCCGCAACCGGAGTATGAAAACAAGCAACCCCAAACGGAGATCCCAAGTTACAAAATCTATCACCATCGTCGTGTTGTCCTTCTTCCTGTGCTGGATGCCAAACCATGCCATCACCCTGTGGAGTGTGCTGGTCAAACTGAACGCAGCAAACTGGGACAGAGCATACTACATAGTGCACACATATGTGTTCCCACTGACCGTCTGTCTGGCGCACACCAACAGCTGCCTGAACCCCATTATTTACTGCCTCATGAGGAAGGAGTTCAGAAACAAACTGAGAGATCTGATGCGCAGAGGATAGTGGTTGAGGATGATCTGACAGAGCGGGAAGCGTATTGACAAACAGCAAACGAGACGCACCGAGTGCGCACGGCGAAAAAAAGGCATGGAGTGAGAGAGGAGAGCTGTCAGAAAGCACAATGAGGACAGGCGACATCATGTTAAGACTATTTACTGTATTCTGCTTAAGGAAACTGTGACCTTTATTAGCGCTTCTTGTATTTAAATGCTTGCGTAATGTGGCTCATGTCTATGGAGAAACCACTGCTAGTTTAGGGCTGTACGCATAGGAATAGCTAATTATGTGTAAAAAAAATTATTAAACTGACGACTACAGTGCCATTGCTTGGTAAATAACCATTAGGAGTGACGTATCTCTAGTCCACAGTCTAAGTGACTGCATGTGTCATTGCTCATGACAGTTAACCACGCATCCATGTGCTCGTGTCATAACTGAACAGGTGGAGTAGCTGAGCGCGTTTTACATCCATCTGTGAATGTCTTAGCAAATAATGTAACCAGTGAACGATACGTGTGTTTATCAGACAGTAATGGATGCAAACATCACGCCATCACTTGCTTAAGAAAAGGGAGGAAAGGTTACAGGTCGTGTTTGTAAGACATGAATAAGTTATTGACAACAGTGTTCCAAGAATATTTGGACAATAAAATGTATGAAATATGATTGTAAATAAAAAAAAAAACTGTATACATTGTGTGTGATAATAAAAATGAGATCAAGTTGTCACATGGATTCGTCTCACAATTAATAACTGTGCATGAATCCAGATGTGACAGGAAAGAAGTCTGAGTTATGATTGACTGACTGAAGGTTGCTGCAGGTCTCACTGGAGGTAATGGGTTCAACTATCATCAACATGCAAAGCGAGCGAGCGGATAAAATAGACTTCATAATGGATTTTTATGCTCAACACCGAGAACTGTCCAATACTACTTATCAGAGAAAAGTGACTGCGCACAGGAGCACTGAGCCACGTGTCACTAGGGCCTTACTGAATAGGTCTGTGAGCTGCAGTGCATGTGCACACACAGTAGGGTGCCATATCAGAAAATGGGCTCTCTTCTTGTCATATATGGCCACCGGCTGCAGTTGTGAATTGAACTTTAGTATTTCCACTTTACGGCTCAACCAAAGACACATTTTTCCTCTAAATGTTTCAGGTGTGGTGAACTGTTGGAGGCACAAAGAGGTCAAATTATTCAGTATTTTACACAAAAAAGGGAAGATTAGAGAAAGGTTTTTTAAACATACGTTTACTAAGACTGAGCCAGAATCAGTTCTTTCTCAGTCACTACTTATTGTCCCTCATTTGGTGAGTTTATAGGACGAATATGGAGGATTTATTTTCAATAAAACTGATCATTCTGATTTATAGGGAAAACCATTATAACTAAACTAACACTGGCTCTTTTTTTTCAAACTGTTAGTGGGTAAATGTTCTAAACATTCCTCTTATATAAAACTACATTTGATTGAATTTTACATACAGGTAGAGCAAGTATGCCTACCGGAACAACTTTAACATGTATTCATTTTCCTCCTTCTTACTGTTTGATTTTATATTACCATAAAACTTTAATGAAAAGCAGGGTCCCAATTAGAAGCAGGTCTCCTTTACTAGCCTGGTGTGGCTACACATTTTGAAAAATAAACGCAGGTGAAAGTCTTTGGATGTGTGAAACCTCTTAAAACCCACCAGGTTGCCTGCTTGAGCGATAAGCCTAGATAGCTAACACAAATAAAAATGTTTAATTAAATTCTTCAGTTCATTTTACAGAAAGTACAAAGTATCACATGATCAAATTAATGATTTGTAACTGATATTTTATTCCATAGCCACATTTTCTATACTATATATATATATGTTTACTATACTGGTTTAAATAAACAATTTGATGGTATTTCCCATCTTTGCTGAGCAAGAGTTTAAAGGCCTGACTCATATAAAGGCCTGTTCAGTGAATAAAATCCCATGCTATTAATTTAAGTTTTATGGTATTGTATAAACATTTTGTGTCGCAGTTTCTTCTCTATTCCTCTCCCATTAATCGTCCTGTGCCCCAACTGTAATGGAGTATTCTAACATAGTTTTGTTGGTACTTTTACTTTCAGTTTTTTGTTGATTCTGCCTGCCCTTGTGGACAAACGTGATAGTGTTTCCACTGCTTTGTTAAATCGATTTCAAGGGAAATTTGACAAAATCTGATCCAGTGACAGGCATTAAGAAAACTAATTAGCCAATCTTCTCACTGATGGTCTCATGTGCTTATCAAGGTCATATCAGTATCAAATTGATAACTGTTTCATTGCCAGTTAAAATAATTTGAATTTAAATAAATGATCATAGTTCTTTTTCCATCACTTACTAGGTAAGTGTTGACACTCTGAGGAAATAAAGTATAAAATAAAGATTAAAAAGCCGGAGAAGCACCAGAGTAATGTTGTGTAGCCCTCAGAAGACCTCAGTGTAATTCTTTGTGTTACTGACCAGTGTTGTGTATGTAGTCTGAAAGTTCAATTTTCCACCAAACCTCAAAAACATCAATCTTTTGACATTTTGTTAAGTGCTTTAATCATAAAGATGCAGTGCAGGTCTTGTAAAGGGCAGCTCCTGGCACTTGGAGGACTCACAATGTTGACATTTTGGAGAAAACACAGCTGTTAAAAGCACTAATCAAGCCTCCTCTCTCCCTTCCAAGAGCAACTTCAAAGAAAACAAGGACAGAGGTCATCACCGTGAAAACAGTTCTCTAATCAACCCCAGTCATTCAATTATAGGAATATAAAAGTACTTGCTCTTGATTGGCACATTGCAAGCGTTTATTGTCAATATGCCTCCTTTTTGCATTGCGCTGTTATTGCTGTAATAACCCTGAACCAGGAAAGAAACACAAGGAATATAAATGAAGAAAAAAGGCAAGAAAAAAGCCTCCTAGTCATACTAGCAGTGTTTGTTCCTTTATTCATTTTATGGTAAATATGACATAATTATTGTCTTGTTCTTTTTACTCTAATTAATTCTTATTCACATTTGACATTTTTGAGATAAGCATGCACTGCTATTTGAAGTGCTATTAGCTAATTGACATATTATGAACAAAAATGTGTGTGTGTGTGTGTGTGTGTGTGTGTGTGTGTGTGTGTGTGTGTGTGTGTGTGCGTGTGTGTGTGTGTGTGTGTGTGTGTGTGTGTGTGTGTATAGACTTGGGTAGTAACAGATTAAATGTAATCTATGACAGCTATATATATATTTGTGTATATAAACGAACATCTTGTCGACAACCAGTGATCAAACAAAGAATATACAATTATAGATACATTATCAGGCATTTAACAAGTTTCACAAAGGTTATAGAAATCGGGGGGGGACTGTATTAACTGTGAAACTCAGAGGTGCTTCTGGTTTTTGATGCTTTGTTTGATTGTGAAAAGGTGTCACTACTCTATCTCTCTATAGGAATTTTGCTATTTAACTGCCACATGAAGTGAGTCAGTCGCTGTGTATCGTGTGGATGTGGTTCATCAAGCTGCTCAGGGAACAGTCAGTCCTTAACCAGCGCGACTTAATGATGTTATAAATGCACATTCCGTCACTCTGAGCCTCTCACAAGGTAAGTTTTGGACTAATATATAGGAATTGAATTTCAATAAAGCAAAGAATTCTGTTACATTTGTGGAGAAAGGTATAAAAATTGCTCCATGTTTCTAGCTGCTGAAAAGTTATTGATATTGTTCAGTTAAAAAGCTTGCAAAAAGGCTTGAAAGAGACAGGGATAAAGTGACACTTTTGCAGGTTTTTCAGAGCAAAATGTAAGTAGGCCATTAAGAAAGGGTCACAGGTTTCTCATGTGCTTTATTTGACAGTTGTACCCTTTCAAGAATTGGCATGGAGATATTTGTTCTGCCTCCCGAGTCTTTTTGACGTTGCGTAATGATTCTCCCTTCCTTTTCTCATGCAGTCCCTCATCAATAATCTCTACAGAATAATTCCAAGAAGTGTATATTTTCCATTTTAACTTGACCTCGCCAGCAACAGATAAACATTATTTGAAGGGTTGAAAAGATGTTTAGGGATCTTGGAAGGGTAATGCATTATTAAGCTGGGGTCTGTCTGTGGGGACATTAGTGAACAGTTGCAGCTGGTTGGGACTCAGTACGTTTATAAGTATCCTGCACAAATACAGTCCATCACAGGAGATTGAACCAATATCTCCTGGTTGAGGCAGTTGTCTTCATTCTGACTACACATCATGTCGTTCCTGTTTAATATATATAATATAATATTATAATATATATAATATGTATGTTTTCATTAGTGTATAATCACCTGAAAATAACAATCGTTGTGTTTTCAATACCGTAGAATGAGTGTCTATGTTTTTACAGTAGCCCAGAATGGACAAACCAAACACTGGCTGTAGATTTTCTATTTGATTTGATTCATTCAACATCTTAGATAGATACACCTATACAGTTTGTCAAACATTGCAACAAATACATACATATTCATTAAACAAATTTAGTGGATAAACACAAAAAACTTAGTTTCCATTGTGGTCGTCTTTTCAGGATGACAAGATGGTAATGCAGGTCATAAATAAAGCTAAACCACCACGAGGCTCTATTCTATGATCCTAAAATACAATACATTTATCCCTATAAAAATAAACTTCAAGGTTAACATTAGATCATGTATAGTCCATAAATGCATAGGCTACACATACACCCTGCAGACACCTCACCAGGCACCTTACACATCTAACGGGTGTGAGCCACCTCCTTTGGCGCCTCCAACAAGGTGTCCTCTGAGCACACACACCAAATTTGTTATTAAACCTTTCAGTCATGTGTCTCTAATTCACAGAGCACAATACCTGAGTAGGTTTAAGATGTTCATTCTGCATTGCCTGGTTCAGTCTTGAACTCATAAGCTTTGCCACCAGTGACCCATCGTGATCATGTTGAGCTGCCAGGAGAAATGGGAAAACCAGAGGTGGTTTCACACTGTGATAACAAACTTCTGTAATTCATTCTGATGTATTGCTTCATAAGAGCCAAACTGATGTTAGGGGGGATGTTAATAAGGATAAAACTGAAAATACCTAAAAATACTTGACATCAACTAAGACAATAAAACATTACAAATTCATGAACATTTGAGATTTATTTAGCAAGAATTTGCAATAGTTGTTTCCAGTAAAACATGTTGATGCACCGTGGGCTCATTTTTGGATGTTTCAGCTTTAATTTTCACTTCATAATTCCTGCCAGCTTGAAGCGTCTGAACATTTCTGCTCCAGTGGGCCAACATTTCTGTGAATCTCACAAACAATATCAAGTACAACTGATTTATAATGAATTATTAAAGTTTTAAACTTTGCTTTAGCGCCACCATTGGGACTATTAACCCACAATGCCACTTGAGGATTTTGGGCATAGTTCAGGACCTATGTGCAAGGATTTGTTTATTTTCATGCCTGGGAAGGCAGATGTAGGAATAATATGACATTAGTGCTTGGATCTAAAGTTGTCAATGTATAGAGCAGAGAGTCTTTATTGTCTCGTCTACTCCAGATGAGGACAGGAGGAGGAAAAACTGATATACTGATAAAAGATCATTTAAGATAAAATATCATGAGGACGACAATATGATGACTCACTAAGCCCAGAGTTCATGAGAAATGTGAGACCTAAAAACATGGTCGCGGCCCAGAAAGGCCAGAAATGACTCC